GTAGAAATGGTTTTTGAAGTTGAGATCTATGCTTCATATGGTTTGGTCTCTTGTGATAAAATCATTGTACTTCTCATGATTTGACGATGGCATGTCTTAAGCCAAGTATGTAACTTATGACTAGATAGTGTCCCTAGAAGCATGTTGTTGTATGTGCCTAAATCTCTCTAAGTATCTCATCAGTGAGACCATCTGTTCAGATGACAATGAATCACCCACTCATGATGATTGCGTAGCATTGTCTAAACTTTCAAAATAAGATTGTCTGGTCCTAATCAAAAAAATTATCTTAAGGCTTGGGTGTTTATTTTCTTGCTTAATTGTCTTTTACCTGACTTCATCCCTGGAAGCATGTTTGTCGTAAGCATCAAGTCTCATGTTCTTTTGAAACATTAAGCATAACCCGATGGCTTACCATGATTGCATAGTCATCAGTGTAAAGTTACTTGTCTGGTCCTTAAATGACAAAGGGTTGTTCATGTCCCTAACCTCTTAGTCTGAGGTATGACATGGTACCATTATGATTTAACAGTGAATCTTTGATTCTAGATTGCAACTTACTCCATGATACGAAAGTTCAAACCACTTCTTATTGATGAGTTAAACTGTTAATGATTCACGTTGATTTCAACTCAGCGTGACTAAAACAATCCATTCTCTTCACAAGTCTTCTACTACAGAACTTGATGATTCACTGTGTAAAACCACACACTGATAAAGTTCTAAAGTGTGTGTCGATGGTTAGTCTATGTATCGTAGGCTATCACACCCACCAATCCATTCTTGCCCTTAAATTCTTCTTTAAAGTTTTATAATTTAGCATAATGTACCATACGATGATGAGAACTTGACAAATATGTGACAATAGGTATATCATTGTTCGTGATATATTACACGCACTTATCCACTCTTGCCCTTTTTCTTCTAGTAAAAGATATTTATGATTCAACGTATGAAACCACACGCTGATGAGATCTCGTAATACTATGTCAATGAATGGTAGTCTAAGCCCATGCTATCAGGAGACATCACAATCTTACTAGACTACATGTTGAAACTTTATTCTGCTCAATGTTAGCTGCTGATGTTAAAAAAGGGGAGAAAATTTTGGTAAAGCTGTGTAACACTGTAAATTTTCAGCTAAATATTTCATTTTCAAAATCACATAATTTCTAATTATCACTTTTCAAAAACACAATTGTTTAAATTATCACAAAACACAAATAAATAATTTTTTGATAATAATCTAGGAGCCTCTAAAACATAAACTCCATCTCGTGTGTACAATCAAGTCGGCGTCTTTCTATGATCCTGAGAAGTACCTGAAACATATATCACATAACACGGTAAGCACAAAGCTTAGTGAGTTCCGCCCCAAATAATACACACATATCGTTAGCCTCCCATGGCTATATCTCTATAAAGACCCTCCGGTCAATGTGTCTCAGTGGAGACCCTCCGTTGGGTCGGACCTTCCGGTCCTAACTCAATAAAGCTCAGAATAATATACAACATAAATCACAAAGACATAATGCATGATATCACATAACTCAGTATAAGCATACAAGACCCTCCGGTCACACAATGTTACCACTCAGTTAAGTATAGTGATAAGACTCACCTCGAAAAATAAGCAGGTAGACCTAACATCCCACGAACAGTCTAAACTCTACCTACATAATATAGTTATCTCATACGTAATTTGTAGTAACCACTCCATGATGCTAAACTAACTCCTCCACTAAATCTCAAAAGGGTCAAAATACCATTTTACCCCTCCATGGCCTCTAAATTCCACAGTTGACGAAACCCTAAAAGTTAATGAAAGTCAACACTCAAGTTAACAGTCCATGTTAACTAAACTCATCGAGTGCCTCTACGCAACTCGTCAAGTTCCTTCGTTTTCTCATAAGAATCGAGGAAATCCAACTCAACCTGTTGAGTTATCTCATCAACTCGCCAAGTTACAACATGTCCAGACTTATCGGGGAAAAACCCTAATCGACTTGTCAAGTCAGCTCACTGACTCGTCGAGTCCCTTCAGTCCAATTTCTCATTCAGACATTTTTAGGTAGAAATGATGTCTCATACTTTGGATCTACCCTTTTAAGGCTCACTTATCATGTAAAGTTGCAAGCTTTACGTTCATGTGTGGCATCTAGGGCTCAAAATGCCAAAACAAGCTCCATAAAGGGTTTCATGCTTGGAGACTTGCCCAAAGCTTGATAAAGCTTGGATCTTTGGGCTCATGGGACCTCCTTTTGTCTAAATCTGGAGTCTCAACTCCATGGCAAGCTCTGGCACCTCAAGAACCACAAGTTAAGGGGAAAAAGCTCTAAAACTCCCTAGAAGAAGATCTATCAAAAGAAATGCTCAAGGTGGTAGCTTTTTACCTTCAAACTGAAGCTAGCACAGAAAAATACTTGATCCAAAAGCCTCTTCTCGTTCCAAGGATTGATGCTCTTCAATCCTCTTCCAAATATGCACTAGAACACCCAAAGTTAGCCTTTCGCTCTCTCTCTCTCTCTCTCTCTCTCTTTCTCTCTCTCTCTCTCTCCCTCTCTCTTTCTCTCTCTCTCACACACACACAAGCAAATACACACGATTAGGGTTTCTCACGGGGTATTAGGGTGACAAGGGAGGGGGAAATGAAGGCTTAAGGTCCTTTAAATAGGACACAAACCCTAAAAATTAGGGTTTTCACACTCATCTCATACTAGTCGAGTTGGGGTCCTCCAACTCGTCGAGTAGACTCTAAAAATCATGCGGTCATCTCAATCTCTACTCGGCGATTTGGGGCCTCCAACTCATCGAGTTGCCCTGACAAGATGCATATAATTTAATTAAATATTATACTTGGGAGTCGGGATGTTACAAGCTGAAAATCTCACTACTAGAACTACAGAAAAACACATTCTAAGGGGGAGTCGAGTCAGGTTGATGCCAATGTTATCAGATCAACTCTAGCTCATTATCTATTCATCATTCGTCTGTTACAATTCATAAATGTTTGATAAGTCATTCATCTTCTCAGGGGGATCATTTGTTAAAACTCCAAGAGTCAAGATTTCATTCTTACACTCAATGGGAGCATGAGTCAAAAGCATTCCGCTTATATACAAAAGAAATTTAGTTTTGACATCATCAGATAGGGGGAGATTGTAATGTCACACCTTATGATCTGATGAGTCAAACATACAACACGTTGATAGAGCAGCGTCAGCGTATCAAGTTTATCAGAGCTTACAACTCAGTTATCCGATTGTAATATTTCGTATATTAGGTAATGATATACATAAGTATAGAATAGATCACAGATCTGGTATCTTTATGATAAGATCGATTCTTAGTATAGATTAGACGCAATCCCTTCAATCAAGGGATATACATGTATAGATTAGTATATATACAACGTTAGAGCAAACTCTAATGTTGTGTTCTTGGCTTTGTGTCAGTCCTCTTTGTGACAACTCGTTTTCTTGGTGAAAAAAACTTCTTTCTTGGTGAATAACAACTTGGTGAATTCTTCGTGTTCTTTACTTTTCTGTTCTTTATTTTGATTAGTTTGTTTGTTTTTTATTATACTTGAAATGTATCAAATCTATACAAACCTTCATTAGGTGTCTGCAATAATTCGGCATTTGTTTTTCATCGGGTTGGTTTTCCTTCATGATACATTCATTCCAATAGTCTGTGCGTTTGGTGTATATTTCTTGTTTTACGAGTTATCTCTCTAATACTATGGATCTTAATGTTTTGAGGAGGTTCTTTTAGTGATTTATTAGTATAGGGATGGGGAATACTTTTTATCTTGGTGTCGTATAAATATGCATGGGTTTCATCAATAGGAGCATTTTTTGGTGATTGGTTATTATTTGGTGATAATTCCCTGGGAAGTTCCTTATTAATATGGGGTGGTTAGATTTTGGTACCGATGTTAGGCTAAAGATTAATATTGATGACGTTTTTATCCTCTATGATCCATGATGTTCCTTTATTTGGGTGTTAAATATTGATGTTTGGAGGCTGCCCGAGTGTGATATATATATATATATATATATATATATATATATATATATATATATATATATATATATATATATATATATATATATATATATATATATCGAGACTTGGGTGTTCGTTTGTTGCTTTGATGAGTTTTTTAGTTGAGATCTAGAGTAGTTGGCTCTTATTTCAAGTGCTCTTCATTGAAAGTTAGATACTTTTCTACAACATGGTGTAGAATCGAAATTGATGCAATAATGTTTTTTTTTCAATGTTGCAGAAACCAGCTTTGTCGGCCGATTAATTGTTTGGCGGTTTTGAACCGATTATGATTAGGGTGTTTGGTGAAATTGGTCAAAATCGGGCTTGGTGGTCCTCGTTAGTCATAGGCGGAAAATAAAATTTTTTAATTTTCAAATGTTGCACCAAAATTTTAAATTTTAAAATTTTTAAGTTTTCAAATTTTAAATATTATACTTAAAATTTTCAACTTTTTAAAGATTAAAATTTTCAAATACTTATTTTTTTTAGGATACATTAATTTCTTAAATAATTTTACTAATAATTTAGGATCCTTGATTAATCACTACCTACCCTGATTAATTGTTTAACGCCAGTCGACTACCGAACTACTATCGAACGATTTTTACAACCTTGATTTTTTTAAAAATCAAATGCATCTAATAATAATAATAATAATAATAATAATAATAATAATAATAATAATCACTGCCTACTAAGTCCAACAACCTCTACTGTCTACACATTAAATATAAATTGTGCCGTCATACAATTGCCGTCTAGCGGAGTTTTCCATCTTTTTAAACTACTCAATCCCGCTTTTAAGTTTATAATTAATCTCATCGTTTATGTCCATTAAAAAATTATTTTAAATCATCTCATCAAATACTCTTCACGTAAAAAGCGGTATTTTCCATGGCCAGCACATTTTTCTAATAAGATTATAAGAAACTGGCAAACCACTAACTGAACACAACAACACAATCATTTGCTCCCATTTCAGGCCTGCATGTCGCTACCCTCGAAAACCAACAGAAATAACTGAACACACACGAAATTACCAAAATACCCTCCACTCTCTACTTTTGCATCATATACCACACAGATACCCTCAGCGAAACCACAGGCAGAGAGAGCTTCTGAATTTTTCCTTTTCACTCTCTCTCTCTCTCTCCTTTTGTCTCCCTCTCTTTCTCCATCCTCCTTCCTCTTCCCAAAGTTGTTTCCCACCAAGAAAAACCAAAGATGGGATGTGGGAAATCAAAACACGCAGTTGTCACCGAGACCACCATCGTCAAATCCACAAAATCTGATGACGGGAAAGAAACCCGCAAAACCAAAACCATCACGGAGAAAGGCGACTCCATGTCCGTACAAGAAGTCGAAACAACAACATCTGTTGTCGAAGACACCAAGAAGGAGACCACCACAACAAAAGTAGACCCCATCGGTACTGCCAATGTGGCCCCCACATTGGCAGACCAAGAAGTCTCAAAAGAAGATGAGAAGATCACCGATGTGGCCCCCACAGATGATGTGGACGACGTCATGAAAGCCGTGAAGGAAGATGAAGAAGTTAAGAATTCGGATATCACCGACGTGGTCCCCACATCAAATGAAGGTTGTGTGGAAGTTGTGAAAGATGACGAGAAGAAAGAATCCACGGATGAAAAGGACGCTAAGAAAGATAATGTGATTCCCACGTTGAGGGAGAATGTTATGGAAGCCACATTGGTCATGAAGGATGACAAAAAGTTTAATGATTCCAAAGAAGAAATGACCTATGAAACACCAATGAAAGCCAACGAAGATTTTCCGATCACCGAGTTCACAACCCCAAAAGTCCAGGAACTAAAAGCCAAAGAATCGACCAAAGTGGAAACAAAGAAAGGTATGAAACTTAGATGAATTGAAATTCATTATAAATTAATATCTAAATGGTCAAAACATATAAGATCTTGATCATCGGATGAGAATCCATAAATAAGGTTTCATTTTCAAACATAATATCACCTTCTGTCATCCTTATTCTAGAGACATAATTATGATTTATCTCCCTTATATGACGTGTTCCCTTCTAAAATATATGATTAAAGAATCGTTTATCGTTAAATCTTACATGGGTAAAGAAATTGAATAGGTAGTGATATCCGGATAGAGTGTTGAACAAATGAGATCAGTTTTATTTTAGACGAATAAACTGTCCGAATCTGACTAGATAATCACTTTACAATCTACAATTCTACATTACATTCCAAGTTCCGAACACAGTTTTTACAATATTAAATGATTTTTAGCAAAATTTATTTTTATGAACATTAGAAGAGTTTGGTGGGAAAAATAATTAGCAAAAAAAGGTAAAGGTTTTTATTATAACACTTTAAGCAAATAAGCAATGTTCTTTTCTTTTTGCTAAACTCATTTAATTATTTTTGACCAGATCAATAAAAAAAAGAAACAAGCACTTATAACTGTCCAAATTAACCGATTCACTAAGTTCTCGTGAGAAGATTTTCATTTCTTTTTTCATTATATGTTGCAGAAGAAGATGTGAAGGTGACAGTAGCAGACATTGCTAACACAGAGTCCTCACCCGCAACAGAACCTAAGAAGGTTCCCACCACCGATGAGGTGCATATTTTTCCTTTATTTACGCCTTTTTTAAAAGTCAATCATGTCATTTTTATCATCAAAACCATATTTTAGTATAAATTTATTACATAAGATCTTCAAGTAAAATGTCAAATAGATTAAACGTATGTTTCTTTTGGGTGAAACCTGTCTTTATGATAACTATTCCACAATTTTCATTTTTAGGCAAATGTTGTGGAAACAAAAGAGAAAGAAACATGAGACAAAAATGAAGGACAAGATGAAATCCTGGACAATGCATAAATGTGGCTCACGTCATATCATATGGTCGTGGTTTAATGTAATATCTTTGGAAAGTTGCTATATTTTTAGATTGTATACTTCTAGATCTACTGTGAACATACCTCAGAGATTACAATGTGTGACATTTAGAAGTTTTCAAATATCCAGTTTCGTCCTTCATCTATTTACTACCTTACTTATTTTGGAACAATACAAATAATGTCCTATTTGATTTGAACGTAGGACTGAACTAAACTCGCTTAGAAAGTTCTGGGTTATGTCATAAAAACCCTACAAACTGATGCTTTTCGTTTTAAAAGTTACCTAAACTATTTTTTGTGTGTTTTAAGCCATTAAAATCAATAACTCTGTGTCAAAGGAACCCTTTCGCAAAATTTTGAAGGGGTCATAATGTCTGCTGATGTGGATTTTGACCATGTAAAGGTCATAGTTTATGCTGAAGTGGAGATGCCATGTGTACCCTCCCTTGTGATCCAATGCACACCAAAAGAGCATATGCAGTAAATTTGCAAATAGAATGGAAGAATTGTATAGTTTACTAATTTCATCCATGATTATAAATACATCTTATCACATGAAATCGTACACATTGAGAGAAAAAATCATCAAAATAGAAAAGAGGGTAACTTTCGCACACAACACATATATTATGCAAAATCAAAATTCAATGGCATGGCTTTTGCATGGATTTGAAAGATTTGTTCTGTTATGAAGAAAATCATTGTACCTTACATTCTTTTCTATCAGATTATCGTTAATCTATGCCTTAGAGCTTGTAAATGTAAGCAATTTTGCACAGATTTCGTTCAGTGTCATCATTCAAAATGTATTTTCGAATCATCCAACAGAAGATTCCTAGTTTTGTACATTTTTATTGGGGATTTTGTTTGGTGTGGATCAATATGACGAAAACTAGAGCTCTGCTGCCAATTCAAACTCAAAGAACACCCGATCGATCGACCTACATGTCGATGAAATACTACATGCTAACAGATTATACAAATTGAACATTCATCAAGGCAAATAAATTGCTTATTGATATGACTAATTTCGATTACCAGCTTCAATTAACTCAGAGAGCAGAGCCACAAAAGGGGCAAAACCTGAAATCAGAAGCGACCTCCCGTGCGCAGAATTGACATCGGAGGCTTTCCGATGGCCGAAAGTCGGAAGAAATCGGAGACAACGACGGCGGATAGAAAAGGCCGCAATTGTTGCAGTGCATGAGTTGGTCTTTTCCCGGCCACCGCCAAACCGGGACGAAAAAGAGTTTTAAGACGTTATTGGTGTCCACAAGATCCGCCGGTGACCGGCAATTGATACACCTTCCCGCTTCTTGCTTCAGCACCCGACGGACCTCTTGAGTAACTCCTCCTACGAAGAAGAAAAACATGCTGCATATGTGAGGAAATCGCGTTGCAATTATATGCTGTGAGCCTGAGTTTAGATTTATAAGGACTCGAATCGGAGGTTTCCGGAGGGTTCTACCAAAAGCAAGCAAACTCCTTTCAATTTTTTTATTTTTTTTTCCTTTCTATGTTTTCTATTTTCAAAAGAAAAAAAATTAAACACAACACGTAAACTAGCAACAAGGTGAGTCAAAAACCTCATTTTTTTTTTAATGTCAAAACTAATTTTTTTAAAAACAAGATCTATGAGGATCATAACATTACTATGTTTGATCCGTTGGATTCTATCGAGGAATTCCACAACTTCTGGCGCAAACAAACCAAAAGTATCATATGTAAAAAGTATAAACGTGTATTGATTTCCGATGCATGTTTTTTCATAGTTTGCCACTTTGTATTATGCAGCTTTTAAAGTAGTTTGTTTCGCAGTGAAAACCTCACTCCCCAAGCCTACTACAAAAGGGGAAACTCCTGTTAGATCCATGCATACATGTACTTTGTTATAAATCATTTTGGTAAATTACATCAATCGTTTTTTTATGTAGGTGCTAAAATACACGTTCAGTTTTTATTTTCAATAATTAACTCATATCGTCTCTCGTTTGATTTAACTTTGCACGTGTCATCCCTAAAAGATGATTTTGTTGCGAACTAAGTCCATTCTAGATGTGAAATTACCTTAATTGACTTGTGTTTTTAGTTTTCAATTAATTTGATTATTTTATTATGACTTTCCTGAACCCATCCGCGCCTTTTTCACTGCTAATGATCGGGAAGAAAAACACACAAGAGTATACAACCACAATTCTTCATCTCTCCATCTCCGACGATCCTCTTCCATCTGGACTACGAGTACTATATTTGACGGTCCCTTCTATGTCTCCGTCATTGCTGCCATAAGGGTCGTGGCTGCTGTTATTGTTATTTGAATTCAAACCGTCGATGGAGGTGTTGTCGAAAACATGGAGGAGGAAAATCCATATGAATCGCATTACAGAGGGGGAGATGCGGTTTACAGTGGATTCTACACATAGATAGAGATGATGTCGCCAACTAGGGTTTCGAACCACCGCCTAGGGTTTCAGATCAAGCTTCACCGCTTGTTTAGGCTCAGTAACACAAGAGATGAATTGTGCAATATGAAGGGGGTGGTTGTCGGAGGTCCAATTCTTCCCCTTTGGTTGATTTTAGCATCATCGATATGAGGTTCCAAGATAGCAACGAGATTCGGGGTGACCACCAATACGTCTATCTAAATCATTTTTCTTTTCCCGCGACTTGTGGGTTTCAATTTACAGGTTTATGATTTTAGGGAAGAGGAGTGATAGGTGGGATGGGTTAATAATGGTCTAACATAAGGCTAATCTTCCAAAATAAGTGGTAGGAGAGAAATAGGAGTGATATGTGGTGGTGATAGTTGGTGATAGATGGTGGTTTCTGATGGTGATCAGTGGTGGTTATCGAGTTTGAAAAAGAAGACTAGGAAGAGATAGCAATGATATAATAGTGGTGGTGTTAGTGGTGTTTATATTTAATTAAACAAATTCTTTTAATAAGTTAATAATTAATAATTAATAAATAAATAAGTAAATAAACAATGGCAAAATGGTTTTTATATGACCGAATGGATTGAACTTGTAAATTTTAAACTAACGAGAAATGGTCTGAATTAAGTTTTAAAAATAAGGAGTAAACGTTTATTTTAATATATACACGAGGAACAATTGGTGTAATTTATCCAAATAATTAACAAATGCTTAGACAAGTTTCACTTGAATAAATCGATTTGGTCTTATTCAAATTCAGGCTTAAAAAAATAAATATGAATAGTTCAGATTAAATTAAAATAAAATCTAAGACATTAAATTATAATTTGATTAGATATCTAGATTGGATTCCCCCCCCCCCCCCCCCTTTTTTTTTTTAATTTAAATCATTCCAAACAATTAGTTACTCTTGAAAGAACCTGAAATTTTGTTTAAACATATTATTCTATCATAATTAAACTTCAATTAATTTGATTAATTTATTAATTAGAATTTAGAAAGATTATGTTTACCTTAAACTTCAATACTTAACAAGTGATAATATCAACAGATTGGAGATACAAAACATTTGAATCTATATTCATACCATATGAGATCAATAATTAGATCACTAATTTTGACATTTAGATGGATCAAATGCTTATCAACTATTGAAGAAACTCAAAACTCCATTAAAACCTTCATAGCTTCATAATTAACCAAATAGATTTACTTCAATAGAATAGATGTGGAACACTAAAAGCCGTACACAAACCACACTGAATCATTATTTAATTCCAGAATCAAGTTATATGGATCAATTATATTGATCTACCATTGCTAGAATACAAATCAATGCTTCAAGGAACAAGATGATTATCTTATATGTATCACACGGTGGAAATGAAGTAAAAACTTGAAAGTATTCATCAATCACTTCACCAATAAACATCCATATGCAGGTAAATACTAACCTAGGTTTTAAATCTTCTAAAAGTATGATCTAAAATTAAAGTTTTGAAAACAAGAATGCAAAACAAATAACCAAAATAACTCTTTGATTAATTGGAAAATCACTCAAAACCAATGTTTTTACAATCTGTTCTCATAATCATAAACTCGATTATAGACACGTATATATAGCCTAACATACCAACTTGTATTAGACTAGGAAACTTATGACCAACTTGCCATAAACTAAACTTTCCATAAATTAGATTGCTTGGACCCCAAGACTTACGATTCCAACACTAAAATCTAAATATAAGACCAGTCCCTAAAATTAGACATTTTGAAAATGGTACATTAACCGGAATTTTCTTAATATGTGTGGTCATAATGTGAATAGGTAATGACCATTTAAGCCCCAAATTTAAATATCTATGATACAATCATCGTACTCTCAAACGAACTTAAGCATAGAATGACCCCAACACCATAAATAAGTCCAACATAATAAATGAGTTAAATCATAATAAACACAAAACACAATCTATGATGTAGTCACAAACAATAAACAAGCCTACTCCAATAGTCCAATGTTTGAATACAATATATTTAATGGGCCAAAAAAAGTGTAAACATGCCCAATAAAAAAGTCGGTACAAGACACAACAAATTAAATCCAAACTTAAGATCACATTTTGATTTTTTAGATAAGTATTGATTTTTTAAAATCAAATCAATATTAAAGAATTTTGATCATATACCAATATAGTTCAAATTTCATTTATCCACGATTTTCCATTTAATACAACTATCGTCTAAATTTTCCATCAAGTGAATTCTTTAACATCCACTTCATTAAATTAATGTTTCATTATATCTTATTTGTTGCAATTTTCCTGCTTTGCTAAAAAACTATAGCCATAAATTCCGAGTGTCACAGTAAAAGACTTCGTTTTTAAAGTAATCAACATTTTAGATAGAACGCTTTGTTTTTTTTTTAAAATAGTCTAGAGATCTCGTCAGACATGTTGGTTCTTCATACAACATCTTAGCCCTACGAAGATACAGCCTTTTTTAGCCTTGTTGTATCTATCCAACTATTCAATCGCAATGGACACACACACAAAAAAAAAAAAAGGGGGTCATAATATCATATGTGGGCACCACAAAGTGAAGATTTATGGATTTGAAGATCATATGTTGTCATAATATATGGATTTATGGATCCGAAAATGTATATGAGAAATCAATACGAACAAATGATACGATATAATAATAATTATTAAAACAAAGCAAAATAAAAAATAAAAAATAAAAAGACAAAATAAGGGTAGATTAATTTTTACAAAGGGTACAGTTTATTGTTGGTAAAAATCACTAAATCCGAAAAGGGATTAACAGATTATTGTTGGTAAAAATCACTAAATCCGAAAAAAGAATATACGAATTGTTTAGCATTGTATAGTTTAATTTATATGTTAAGTATAGTATATTTTAGAGGTGGGCACCACAAAGTGAAGATTTATGGATTTGAAGATCATATGTTGTGTCATAAATGGTTTACCCCTATGTAATAATGCTTTCTTCGTGGTGTCTTTAACCCCAGACTCCCAGAGAGAGGAACGAAAGAGAAGAAGGAAAACACAAAAACCCTAATAACATCTGATCAATGGCAGAGGATCTCAATTCCCACCCCTTCAAGAAAGGAGCAGAGGTCGAAATCAGCAGCAACGACAACGGCTTCCGAGGAGCCTGGTATTCCGGCACCGTAATAAAATCCAAGAACAAAAGCAACAACAATCATTCGATACTAGTGGAATACAAGACGTTAATGGCGGACGAATCTGGAACCAAACCCCTCCGTGAAACCCTCGACGTTGTTCAGTTAAGGCCCCTTCCCCCTCGCGAGAAACGCGATAGGAATTATAAGTTTAGCGATGAGGTCGACGCCTACTACAACGACGGCTGGTGGGAGGGAGTCATCACCGCCGTCCTCCCCGGGAATCGGTACTCGGTTTTCTTTAGAGCCACCAGGGAACAGTTGGAATTCAACCGGTCGGAACTCAGACTTCATAGGGAATGGGTCGATGGTAAATGGGTTCCACCAGTAGAAGAACAAGTACAAGAGGTACACACATGTATATGAATTACAAATTCTGTGATTTGCCATAGAAGTTTATGTGATCTGTTTTTTAATGAAACCAAGAATTGGGGAATCCATGAGACAGATATGAGGGATTAGGTTTAGAAAATTCCATCATTTGACCTATTCTAACAGTTTAAATTTGGTAATCATCTCAATGATTGATTGAAGTAAAATCCAACACTGTAGGAATGCAAGTGTCAAATAAGCGCCGAATTGTCGAATCAGACTGTTTCTTTTACTGTAATACAAGATATGCATACTGAAACCTGTTTTGCTGCAGGTGTCATTGTCTATAGAGTTGAAGATTAACAACAAGGATAGATTCAAGAAAGGGGCATTGGTGGAAGTATGCAGCGATGAAGATGGTTTCCAAGGTGCTTGGTTTGCTGCTACAGTAATCGAACAAGTAAGTTCAGGAAACTTGTTGGTTCAGTATAAATCATTGAGAAACGATGAAGATACAGAGTTTCTGACAGAAGTGGTTGACAGCAACCACGTACGTCCTCATCCTGGTCAAGAGACTGTTGACCATTTCCGTGTGCTTGAAGAAGTTGATGCTCTGTACAATGATGGGTGGTGGGTGGGTGTGATTTCTAAAATTGTTGGAAACCAAAAATATGAGGTTTTTTTTAGGGGAACAAATGAGGAAATGGTGTTTAAACAATCTGATTTGAGGCGACATAAAGAATGGATCTCTGGAAAATGGGTAGCTTCTAATTTGGTAGGTATTTATAAGAAATAGCAATGTTTTATTCATCCATCCTAACTATTTTGATGATTTGGTAGTACATGAATTGATATTTGTTGACCGATTAGGTCTCTACGTTTCGTTATCGATCATCTTGTAACATAGATATGTGGCTTGCGCATGCCCGAAATCAAAGGGCATTAAGGTCTTTTCATGAATGACATATCTTCTACATTTATCAGTTAAGAAAGGTTTTTTTTCTTTCATATAAAGGTTTGGGATGATACGAACTTGGTTAGAATGGCTAGTGGTGTGAAAAGAGCACAATACAAAATAATAATAATAAAATAAAATAAAATAAGTAAAATGAGAGAGAGAGAGAGAGAGAGAGAGAGAGAGAGAGAGAGATGTGGTGGATGCAAAATTATATAAACAAGTAATTCATTATAGTATTGCTAGTGTTAAAGTTTTAATAAATAAAATAGAGGGTTAATGACCTAGTAGGGTAACGAACTTTGGTATTTGTTTATATTTAGGTAACATGACTAGTAACTCTCTAGTGATATTACCTTATTATGAACAAGTCAAACAAAATTACTGGTCAAATGTATACGAAAAAAAAACATGGTTACTTAAATATGGACAAAAACTAAAGTTCCTTACTAGTTTTGGTAATATTGGGTTCTTTACGCTAAGTGCACGTAGTCATAAGGCCTACTGATGTAATATGGAATCGGGTTATTCGGTCATGGTGTCAATCAGGAGTATGTGTTGTTAGTGAGTTCCTAACTTGATTCCTAGCTACCATCAAAGAACTAAATTGTTAGAACCGTCTTAGGACTGTGTCTAGGAGCAAGCTCTTAGAACCGTCTTAGGACAGAGTGTCTGGGAGCAGGCTTCGACGGTCAAGTTAGATCGATGTGTAGAAGGAGATGATTTATCATATATGGAGAACCATCTTGGTGGGAAGAATGTATGAATATAGTGGAGGAATGAGAGATCCTCTTCATAGAGGAGGGGGTGTTCTGTTTATAGATCTACGTCAATGGACAATTAGGTTAAGATTGGGCAATCCTAGTTCATACCCAACTAGTCGTGGGCTAGGTTGTGCTGCCTGACCTTTAAAGCGCACAAAGCCTGGTCTTTTAAGTGCATACAACCTAGCCTCCGACTAACGACATCAATTTCTGATCTACAACCCATATCTCACACTAATACCTGATAACCCTATTCCATGCCATATCATTGTGTCTTATGACTATTTGCATTTAACATAAAAAAAACCTAAATATTACCAAAACAGGCAAGGAACTTTGACTTTTGTCACATTTAGGTAATCATGTTTTTTTTCCGTATATATTTGATTAGTAAACTCGTTTGTCATGTTCAAAGTAAGGTAATATCATCTATCTTTACTAGTCATATTATCATATTTTGAACAAGTCAGACAAGTTTAGCGGTCAAATGTCTACGAAAAAAACATGATTACCTAAATATGGACAAAGACCAAAGTTCGTTACCCTCCTAGATCATTAACCATTTAACCCAAGTCAATAACACCTTACATTTCTTTTCTTTTTTAATTTACAATGACGAGTCCGAATTCTCTATTAATATAAACACCATTATGGTGAATGGTAAGTGAGTAGCATCACGTAAGTAGTGGTATCGTACAACCATGTATAAGACTTCTATTTAAAAATACAAGTAATAGATAAAGGATATATTCATGTGAATAAAAGTGAAGTTATATGGTAAAAAAAGGTATATATGTTGTTTTGGTTAAAGTATATTACCACAATAGGTAATGCATAACATATAGGTATTGTTGATGCAAAAAGAGGATACAAGTATGAGTTAGTTATAACTTAAGAATGAAAGTATGACATGGAATAGTTTAAAGAGGTCCATGTTTATATATATATATATATATATATATATATATATATATATATATATATATATATATATATATATATATATATATATATATATATGGGGAAAGTGAATATACCCTTAAGGGTATATAAGCTTAGGTACCCAAACATACCATAATAAGTCGTTTTGTTTGATATATTTATTATAATATTCTTAAACATGAACCTCTAACTTGATTTACCGTCAAAATTTTTGAAATTCATTATTATCTTTCTCTTATATCACATTTTCTTGTCGAACACATATTAGGTTATATATATTGTAGTTGAAAATGAAAATTATGTAAGATGAAGATAAATATGTAATTTATAAAAATTATGGAAATAAATCAAGTTAGAAGTTATATTATAAGAACATTAGACAATTAGAATGTATTATATAATACAAAACGATGTAGTATGGTGAGTTTGGGTACCTAAACTTATATATCCTTAAGGGTATATTCACTTTTCCCTATATATATATATATATATATATATATATATATATATATATATATATATGGTGTTTTGAATGGATATACATTGATTTATTGCATGAAAAAGATCATGAATGGAAGTTCAATCTTTAGTTAGAAAGGTTGGAATGGGACAAGCTTTGTGTTGTATCCTTTAGGGGACCTATGTTTGTCCATCATATTTAAAAGCTAACACATGTTATTTAGTATCTTATATGAAATAAATATTATTATAATTGTAAATTGTGTATGAAAGTGTTAAAAAAACCAAAACTAAAAAAAAAAATTAAAAAAAAAATGTTGCCTACATAGATTTTGAGACCAAGATAGATATTTTTAAATATGTGATATGTAGTTTGGGGACACAAGATACCTTATGAAGGGTTATAAAAAAATGGTTTGTTAGAGTTTTCTTAAGAGAATTAAAAGTCAGAAGTTCGAATATATCGTAACGTCTGTAAATTCTATAGGTGTTAGGGGAGGAAGGTAACACTTACCCTTAAAACTGTAAGACTATAGTTTTAGAGTGGATCACTACGATTGCATGAGGTGAACTAGAAAAGGAGTATCAAAGCTCTTTCATGTGTGGAGAAGGTACAAAAACATATCTTGAAAGACTTAATAGGATTGTTTTAAGGTGGAGAAGTTACAAAAACATACCTTGAAAGAGATTAAGGTTCTTGATTAACAACCATCATAAAAATTAATTAATAATAATAATAACAACAAAACTTTTTTTATCTATTGATGCTTATACCAAGGAATTTAGCTTTAAGTAACTATAAAGTTGGGGTTGCAACAATAGTCGATGGAACCCTAAATTGATGAAAGAAGGGAAACCCGTTGTAAATACGACTTTTAATTTCACTTGATAACATTGATATTTAAAGAATTCCACAACAAATAGTAAATATTGATGGTGTGAAAAACTAAGATTCACTACATATTAAATGTGCTTTTTTTTTAAAGTGCTATGAAATTCTAACATTTTATAAGCGATAAAGGTCGACTATATGTTGAATAATATAATATTAATAACAAGTGTACACCCTATTTTGTTAGGCCAAAGGGGGTGGATAGAATAATGGTTAAACGAATAAAGAAACTACACCAAACAGTCGGAAACCATGTAAGGAGATGATAAGATTAAAGTAAGGAATTTCGCACTAATGATCTACCTTGCTCAAGCAAATGAGTGATTTACAATCAAAGTGCTTATGTAAGATCAAATTTTTTTCAGGTATTTGCTTTTGACCCTTGAATTATGATTTGTTTGCAAGATTGGTCCCCAATGGCATTTTCGTAATTTTTGCCTTGTGTGTACGTTGGGCGTATGTAGCCAGGTTACAAACCCTAATTTTTAGGGTTTGGACCCCATTTAAGCACCTTTACGGCCTCATGCACCCTTTTATGTTCAGCCCCTTTCCTTATTTCGAAACCCAAAAGTGTGTGAGTGCCTTGTGAAGCTTGAAGAGCCTTTTGGTGTCATTTTGGAGCTCTTGGGGAAGAAGGAAGAACCTTGAGGTTGTGGTATTTCACTCAAGGCCTTGGATCTAGCATCTACTTCCATTTGGGCATCCTTTGGAGGTATAAAGCTCCAACATTCATGAGTATTTCATTTGGATCTAGTTTTAGCTTAAAGTTGACACCTTTTTGTCCCAATATTATTCTTTGTAAGTATGGAATGCTCCAAGACATTTGAGTTGTCCATCCATAAGTTTTAGGGTGTGTTATGTCATAAAAAATTGATCTTGGACATTGGTTTCTTCCCATGAATGGACGCCTATGTAGTGGAATCCCCTCGAGTCATATGATGATTGTTTATATGTTGTGTTTCAGTTTGGAGGATGATGATGATGACTCGATGAGGTTTTGGCTCTAGTTATGTTTCAGGTTTTGGCTGCGGCACAAAATCGATTAATGAGCGTCTGTGCGAGTTCATTTCGGCTGAGGTTACTCGCGGCATCTTGGATGCTCCTCATGTGTTATTCGGTACCATCAAGAAGGGGATTATAGAGCTAATGGATGACATGCTTAGGACTTTTCAAGCTGAGATTGTTGCGCGTCAAATAGGAGCTCGAGCTCCCTCATTTCGGGAGTTCAAAGCCTATGGAGCTTATGAGTTCTTTGGGGCTAAGGACCCCATCGCCAGCCAACATTGGATCGTTGACATGGAGAATGCTCTGTGGACAAATTTTTTCCCTAATGGGGCAAAGGTGGGATTTGTATCCTTTCTTCTGAGGGACCGATCACGAGACTGGTGGGAGGAGATTAGCCGAGGTGTAGGTCAGCAACAATGGCAGTTATGACCTAGGAGGATTTTGCTTAGAGGTTCCAGAGGGAGTTTGCACCAACTATTGATGTGCAATAGTTGGCAAGGGAGTTCAAAACCTTCTCCAGACTACTGAGATTGTGGCGTAGATTACCGCCAAATTCAGTGAGAGG